AGGCTAAACAACGAAACAAAAATTACCGCAGTACCTCAAATTTTCAGTCGTGGAGCATAACAATATTCTTCATGCAATCGTAATATCCGAATAACTCAATATATCAATCAGAAGGAATTAAATGTGGGGTTGTCGTGCCTGAAGTTGTACTTGATTGAATTTAGCCTTTAAAATTAGATCATCTACACACATTAGCTCAGTTCAAGCTTCAGACACGATAGGTTCAAAATTGAACTTGGTGCTTCTATCTAGAGTCTGATCTAGGGATGGGAGCTGAGCAGGTGGAATATTTCGGAGCTTCGGAACGTTCCGGAATTTAACAATTCTATCCCGCATTAGCAGAAAATTACCATAATGCGTGCATGTGCAGGCTGCGCAGTAGATTCAAAAAATCCAAGATTTTCCCATCCCCCGCCGATTAATTCATATTATAGGTAAGACTTATTTACGTCATTGGTTACCTAAGTTGCGATTGGCATAGCTTTTACATTGCCGTAACCAAGCCACCGCATAGGCCGAGTAGGTCGTGTAATAGCGGTACATGACCTTACCCGTTTGTGTAAATGTACAATTTCCAAGTTCTACTCTTATCCTATGGTCTGGAAATTGGTACCCTAGCCTGACTCTCATGTTCCTATTCACGGGCATTCACTGGTAGCCATACTGAAAACTAACTACACACAAATCTGGGACGGTTTGTAGTAATGTAGCAGTACCCTAACCCTGTCCATTTGTGTAAGGGCTCAACTTACCCTTACCCAGGGCCAAAATTCGATGTCTCAAGACACAGAAACTATGAGATGTTTTTTAGTGCGATTCTTGGCACTACATCAAATCACATATTACTAATTATTATGCCGAGGGTTAGAAAAGTCATTACAGTTTTTTTTTTTTTTTTTTTAGTAACCCTATGTAGAATTACTATTATAATGATGATTATTTATCGTTATCATCTATACATAAAGGTCAAAAAAAAAAGAGGGACCGTTTAATGACTTTCCTAATACCTGGTATATTATTGTGGTTTGCAAAATTTTGTGAAATTGCAGTTCGTCAAAAAAAGAAATCATTAAGAAATCACTCGATTGTTAGATGATTTCCGGTTTCTTAGAAGTACTCCGATATCTGAATGTGAATTTCTCACATCGGAGTAATTTTAAGAAATCAGAAATCATCTAACAGTCGAATTATTAAGTTTTTTTTTTTTTTTTGATGATATGCAAATTTTGCAAACCACAATGATAATCACTTACTGAATTGACTAAGTAAAACATGTTCAGCGACTTGAGTACTAAAATAAAAATTTCAAATTAACTACAATGAATCTATTTTTACTACAATAAATAGAATACAAACTATAATCACCGAACTCTATATCGTTAATCATTTCTAACTTAACCAAGTGATAACTCTTCAAATAGTTATGGTGCGCTTCGTCTAATCCTCCATGATAACAACCAAGTAGAAATACACAAACTTAACAAACATGCAAAGAAACTAACGTAAAATGCATCTTTATAACATTCATGACCTACACACTTGTTTTGATGAATATCAAGATTATAACCAAATATGAAGTTAAATAGTTGGCCTCCAAATGCTGGGTACTATTTGAAAAGTAAATAAATAATAAATAAATAACCAATTTATAAGAACGAAAAGACAAAAAGGACAGTACTTACGATCGACATAATACCCCTTTATTGTATAATAAATTAACGATTATGAAAAGAGCAATTTGATTCAAAATATTAAATTCACAGATGCTAGTCAAGAAAACATCAATGCCTTTTTTTTTTTTTTACTCACCAATTAATACCAAATCTCTTTTGACCAAACCATTCGTTGGTTATTGTAGGCGCAATACCAAACATCATTCCAAACCCCATTCCAACGAACATTGAAACGGGGTACAAAACATTTAACGATTTAACCCAAAATCCAGCAAAAAGCTGACCAAACGACAAGAGACACCCGGATACAATAAA